GCTGTAATAAGATAATTACCCTTTTGAGCTAAAGAACAAGAAGAATTTGAAAATTGAGGAGATTGAAAGAGTTTGTATAGATGGTCTACTTGTTCCTTTGTGAACTGAGTTATTTCCAAGTTGATTTACTGCCTTTGAGAATCCTCACTCACGGTTTGGAATGCTTTGCCATCACCTCCATTCTTCTTTTTAAAATTCTTCGGTTTGCCATGAAGTTTCCAGCATGTTTCCTTTGTATGCCATGGTTTTTTGCAGTGATCACACCATGGTTTCTTTTTCGTTTCTTCCTCCGGATCAAATCCTCTAGAGACTTGAGCCGAACTTTCTGCTTCAGGATTGAGCTTCGGTTCTTGGGTTTTTAGCATCACTTTTCGCCTAGCCTCCTCTCTCCTAACTTCTGAAAACACTTCTCTGATAGATGGTAAGGGTTTTTTTCCTAAGACCCTTCCTCTTATTTCATCTAATTATTGATTGAGTCCTGCTAGAAACATGTAAACTCAATCATTCTCCTCTCTTTTCTTATGCCGCACACTATCAGTAGGACAATCCCATTCATCTTCATAACACAAATCCAATTCTTACCATAAAGTCACCATCTCATTGTTGTATGTTGTGACATCTCGATCTCCCTGCCTAGATTGCCACAGCTTCGTCTTTAGTTCGAAGATTTGTGATGAGTTTTCCAGGTCTAAGTACATCTCACGTACAGCTTCCCACATATCTCTGGCGGTTGGTAAAGAATAGATGGAGTTTCCCAATAGCCGGCTCCATTGAGTTAATGAGCCACGCCATTAACAAAGAGTTCTCGAATCGCCATACCTTCAGATTCGGATCACCTACTGCTGGTTTTTTTACCTCTCCGGTTAAATGGCCAAGTTTCCCTCTTCCATCAATTGCAAGCTTCATGGATTGAGCCCACTCCAGGTAATTCTTGCCATTTAATTTGTGAACAGTGATCTAAAGAGAAGGATTTGCATATGCTGCTAATGGATATGTGCCGTTGGTCATGGCAGTGGTTCCGGACTGCTCATTCTCTGTGAAATCCCTTGAAGAAGCAGAGGTCCTACTTGCTCCGGTCATGGCAGTCTTTGCCATTAAAATTTAAGAGCTAGCTCTGATACCATGTAGTTTTTTAGAAGAAAAATAACTTACTTTCTTATTATTAATATGCGGAATTTATAAGCTATTTATAGGCATAAAACTAACTTAGAAAATCTAACCTAATCATGAAATCCTAATTGGATTCCAAGTCATCCTTATCCGGACCTAATCAAACACTCTATCCGGATTTCTAAATTAAAACATAATTAAGGAAGAGATAACTCCTAACTTTTAGAATGATAATCTCCTTAAGAGATAATTTCCTAACTTTAAAAAAACCTAGGTCTTCGACACTCCCCCTCAAGTTGGAGCATAGATATCTATCATGCCCAACTTGCTGATAAGAAACTCAAAGCTTGGTCCGAATAATCCCTTTGTCAGAGAATATCAACTATTTGTTGTGTTGTTGGAACAAACGGCATACTGATCGCAGCCTTGTTGTCACAGTAGAGTTTCATAAGCATCTCTATTGGTTTCTTCAATTCCTCAAGAATTCTTTTTATGTGATAAATGCTTAGCTGCAATCACTTGATTGTATCACTTGCAACAGCCAAGAATTTTATGCAATTAATACAGAATCTACAAGTAAAGCATATGAATCCACGTGAGTTGAAATCAGTCAATCACACCTCATCATTCAAAGCAGCAAAAACTGCACTCAGACTGTCCGACTGTGCCAAAAAATCATCAAAACTTCTATTCCCATGGAGAGCAGAAAAGATTGAATGGCGAACAGTAACTTCAGCATCTGCAACAGCTGCAATTAGAAGCTTTTCTACAATCTGCAGAAAGACAAAACAGTAAAATTTAAGACTGTAAAAAAACTAAACTGCTAGGATGTTCCATAGATATCACGAATAACTTAATATCCACAAGCCTATGAAATAAAAGAAAACCTGTAAAGTGTAATGTAAAACCTAAAACATAAAGGAAAATCTGTAAGAGCATCTCCAATTGAGTGCCAAATTGATGTGCCAATGCCAATTTTGACATCTGAGTGAGGAAAAAAAAATCACTATCCAATTCAATGCTATTTTATATGCTAAATTTGCCACAAAGTATAGTAAATGCCAAATTTAGCATTTGATTGCTATTGGTTGATATATTAACTTTTTTATTTTGATCATTACAAAATTATTCTTTTAAAATTATTTTAATACTAAAAGTTTACTTTTACAAGTTTCAAAGCTTCATAATCATGAAAAAAGGTAGATATGGCATTTGAAGCAGAGGACAAAATAGATAGCACATCAAATATGTTATTTTCACACTTTTTAGTGACAAATACAGCATTTGCATTGGAGATGGTCCAAGTGTATGTTAAGCCCAAGCCCCTACAGACTTATGTTAGGCGTAGGGTTAGGGGGGCAGATTAGTCTTTTGGTATTTTATGGATTTAGGACTTTAGTATAAAGAGGGCATTAGCAAGTTAATTATGTTTATGCTGAGTTTTGTCAAGTTATTAGGAATAATTAGGAGTTTTTGAGAGATTGACCTACCTCTCGAATTGTAGGTCAGGATTGTCTTTTAGTTGATTTGATTAATAATAATAAGCCCTAATTCAGCCCTAATCCCAATTGATTCTTCTCTGAAACCTATCAATGTAATGTAAAACCTGTTCACCTTGTGATGCAAAAGAATAAAATGAAAAAAAAAAAAAAAAAAAAGGACCATAGCTGAGCAACACGAAACCAGTTCTGGAAACAGGCTGTTCCACATAAGAGAGAAAATTAAATAAAAGATAGAAACGCAAGGGAGAGGAGAAAACAAACCCAAAAAGGCATGAACACGTGAAAAATACCAAAACCACAAGTACAAACAAATGAAAGAAACTGTGGAAAACCAACCTCTTCAACCAGACGTCGACGCTTTCCCCCAGTGCGATTGGATCTACTAGAACCAAATTGTGTGCAGGCTAAGCCAGAAAAAGAATTTGCAACTAATCTGCAACAGCACAGGGCAGCATCCTTTCGTGTTGTTCCATCCTCATCATCCAAATATACAACAACGGATTCTCTCGCAAACTCAAGGAGGTCATGACCCTAATCAACATATTATTTTCCCGGTGAGATTTCAGGTGCAACTAGGAGTCATAAGTCAATAGCATGTATTATCAAACCTTAAAATTAAAACGAGCCAAAGTCTGCAAAGCAAGTTGCACAAGGGCTGGACCACTAAGGTCTGAAGCTTGCTGAGGAATATTCGTCAAATTTGCTCGATTTCCACCTACAGTTGATCTCCCCTGTGAATAATGGGACAGTGAAAGGACCATTGAAATGCAATCAAGCAACCGATCTTGAATGGGAGGTAGCAACGATGGGATACTAAAATAACAAGTAACAATCAACATTAGAGGAAAATAAATTTCCTGAATAATATAGGTCAAAGAAATCCAGATAAACCCTTTATACCTGGCGGCTATTTGCTCAAGGGCCTCAACAAGCGTCGAGGAGAGACCAGCAGCAAACATAACATCCAAAAGTCCACGAACATGAGGTTCCATAGCAGGTCCCATAGCTTTAGCAATGTTCCCAACACATGCCAAAGCCTCAAGCGAGGGTTTACCCCTGCGTGGTGCAATCTACAAAAATAATTGATATATAAACTATCAGAAATATGTCTGCTATCAAAATGACAGCCACAAAACAATAAAATCCACAAAAGTACACCGGACATGTAACACAAAAGTCAAAAAAGCATCATTTATGGTAGAGAACAAATATTCAATAGTTCAACATCCGAATGTCACATACTGCATCACGTAAGGGGGGAATAATTGTTGGCAAATAGTTCACAAGTTCCCCATCCAAAGCACCAGCCATCTCCCCGAGGGCAATAAATCCACTAGCGCGTTCAGTTGGTATTCGCAGAACCGCAAGAATATGATTCATGCATATCTGCAAGAAATTGAAACTTTTACATCTTGAGCAGTAAACTGGAAATAATAACAAACGTACAACAAGCTTTTTACCCAAAACATTTTGTTAACCATTTACAATGGCAACATAAAAGAAAATATGGGAAAAAAGCACCGAATACAAACCGTTAAGTAGTTGGTAACAAATCGATCACGCAGAAAATGAGCAATCCGCGGTAACAATGAAGTTATGCTCCGCCGAACAAGAGGATCTCGGTGCTCTAGATATCTGAGAACAATTTCAGCAACTTCTCTGTATCTTGACATCATGAACTCGCCTGTATTCCTGCACAGTTTACATTGAACTGGTCTTTTTGAGCTATGTCTATAAATTTGCATAGGGCCATCATAACACATTTCCGGCATCTACAAAAATGCCACTTTATGTGGTATACCAATAACATACTTCTGCCAGAAAATTGTTCTAACTGAAAGAAAGGAATATTGCTAAAAAAAAAGGGAAATTTTATATCTCTAGCAACCTTAAAAGCTCTCCTACTGCAAGTAGAGAACCATGTATGCTGTGAACAGGAGCATTTTTACCCAATCCATCTTGTGTTGCCTCAAACATACGATAGTACCTGCAAAATAACAAAAATTACAAATACCACTTACAGTGAACAAATGGCATATTAGAACACTATTTGATAAAGGAAGACAACTAGAACAACAAGTTCAAAGGAACGACAATATAAGCATGCAACAAAATCCTGCCTAAATGGCATTTACATAATACATGCATTAGGACAACGTACTGACCATTGCACACGCCATCTTGTCTCACGTTTCTCAATAACACGAAGACAAGCACGCAGTGCATCCACAGCTCGCTCCCGAACATCCAATCTAGGATCTCTTAGAGCAACCCATATAACATCAACAAATTCAGGTACATGCACATTGAACACCGTTGAAGCATTTTCCGCCATTTCCTGAAGTGATAATGAATTTCCTACGTGAGAATTCAAGTGAAAAAAAAATAAAAGAATAAAATAACCAAATAGAAAATGTAAAAATAAAAAATAAAAATCATGAATGCAAATAAAAGTAAAATTGAACATGAAGATATAAGATAGCCTTTTGATGTGGAGAAAACATATGACCTATCACTTCATACATATTCAAAATAATATCATTGCCCCATACTGAGAAAGAGAAAAAAGAAAATTTCAAGTAATCAATAAGAATACAAAATAACGAACATGGCACTTACTTTCAAGATTAAGACAGCAGCGAAACGGCGATACTCTACTCTTTCTCCACGCAGCCAATCAAGTGCAATTTTGATCTATAGAAACGAGCCTTATCTCAAGCCCCCACTCAAAGATAGGGAAAACTATTTTTTTTTTTTTTAAAATGCCTAAGATGAAATGGGATAACACACCTGGTGTTCAACATCATCTGCAGTCATTGCTCCACCTGCTCGGGCTAGATGACCCAAAACCCGGCTAGCAAGTTCCAGAATCTCAGGGTGACGCTTTATTTCAAACACAGTCCTCATGTAATTTGAAAATTTAGAAACCTTGGAGGCATTCTCTCCAAGAGCGACATCGATTAACTCATCAATAGCTCTCAAAGCTCCCATATTTTCCGCGGCATCATTACTTTCTAAAAGAGTAGAAATCCGATCGTACAACTGATCCATGAAACGGGAAAAAGCTTCTCCGCTAAGATCACGAGCTTCTTCCTCTAGATGTTTCTTGAAAGCTAGAGAAGCCCCCTCCTGTTGAGCAGTCTAAGGAAAAGGTAATCAGGTGTCCAGATCACATCAACCAGAAACGACTCTATTCTTAAAATGTACTAGATTCCCATAATGACGACAGGAATCTAAAAGTCATTACATGTCTGAAAGGAACAACATGCCAAAACATAAATGAATCTGAAGTCCAAGGAATCATTAGTGAACGTTTGGTTGATGGATTCAGAACCATTTTCGATTTACGTGTATTTTTTGTGAAAGAAAATACCGTAGCGAACCATTCGAATCATAATCTAGCAACCAAACAAAAATAACTAAAAAACGATTTGCCAAAAGAAAAACTAAATAAACTCATAACAAGAAACCAACCAAGAACAAAGACAAGACCAGTGTAATCTATGCGGAGTTGAAAAACAAGGCAATTTAACAATAATTTCACAGCAATTATACACTGGATTGAGTTCCTCAACTAATCGGAACCTAACAACGCCTGTAAATTCGCCCATTTCCAGTACTCTTCAGCCTAAACTGAAGTAATTCACCAGTGAGCAGAGCAATTTTCCCGGGAAACAAACGGAGGCAAAATTCGGGCGTACCTTGGGGGCGTTACGGAAGCAGAGGTCGGAGAGGATTCGGTTGAGGGCGTCAAAGTTGCCGCCGGTGGGTCCGGCGGAGACGGGACCGCCATAGCGGACGATGGACTGAGCAGAGGACGCCATGTGGCTCTCCTCTTCTCTCCCACCCAAACCCTAAACCCCCAAATCCAATGTGTGCGTCTGTTTCTCTTTGTGGATCTCTTCTGTTTCAAGACATCGAAGCTGTGCCCTTACGAGGTGTGGATTTTCCAATATATTTCTATTATATATATATACGACAGGAATCTAAAAGTCATTACATGTCTGAAAGGAACAACATGCCAAAACATAAATGAATCTGAAGTCCAAGGAATCATTAGTGAACGTTTGGTTGATGGATTCAGAACCATTTTCGATTTACGTGTATTTTTTGTGAAAGAAAATACCGTAGCGAACCATTCGAATCATAATCTAGCAACCAAACAAAAATAACTAAAAAACGATTTGCCAAAAGAAAAACTAAATAAACTCATAACAAGAAACCAACCAAGAACAAAGACAACACCAGTGTAATCTATGCGGAGTTGAAAAACAAGGCAATTTAACAATAATTTCACAGCAATTATACACTGGATTGAGTTCCTCAACTAATCGGAACCTAACAACGCCTGTAAATTCGCCCATTTCCAGTACTCTTCAGCCTAAACTGAAGTAATTCACCAGTGAGCAGAGCAATTTTCCCGGGAAACAAACGGAGGCAAAATTCGGGCGTACCTTGGGGGCGTTACGGAAGCAGAGGTCGGAGAGGATTCGGTTGAGGGCGTCAAAGTTGCCGCCGGTGGGTCCGGCGGAGACGGGACCGCCATAGCGGACGATGGACTGAGCAGAGGACGCCATGTGGCTCTCCTCTTCTCTCCCACCCAAACCCTAAACCCCCAAATCCAATGTGTGCGTCTGTTTCTCTTTGTGGATCTCTTCTGTTTCAAGACATCGAAGCTGTGCCCTTACGAGGTGTGGATTTTCCAATATATTTCTATTATATATATATATGTGTGTGTGTATAAAAATATACTGGATATACACAAGTTTGTATAATAAGAAAATTGCAGAATTTGAATTTATCCTGCACTCTAGATTTTTTTTTTATAAATATCATTTTATTAATATAATTATTTAATTAAATAATTAAAAAAAATTAATTCATATATTTTTTAAAAATATTTATCAGGATTACTTTATATAATAAATCAAACCACGACACAACATTGTAATTTTGCGGGTTACAAATACTCTCTCTTACGTATGTATGTGTAATTGTGTAGTGTGTAGAGGAGGCACGCCAACAACTTGTCGTATTAATACAACCGAAATATGCTTTTATTTACGAATTTGCGATTCGAAACGTGGACAAATGACATCAAGCCAGCCTTATAATCGGTTCTAGACAAACGAGTCACGTTTTTTTCACTGATTTAAGTTTAAAATTTAAATTTTATTATAATAAAAAGTTCTCAAAAATAGTCACATCTAACTTTTTTGTTACAGAAGGTTCTCACATAACATCACATCTCAACTCGAATTAAAAACTCAAATTAACGAACCGAACGGGAACGTCATTCACGAATAAATAAATAAAAATGAGATAAATATTTCTTACGGTATATAAGTTTAAATTTTTTTCATTATTTTTAATTAAATAACTATATTTGTTAAAAGAATACTAACTTTACTTTTAAATATTTTTCATAAAAAATGAGTGACGTTCTTTAACACGTTATTTATTTAGGTAAAAGGAAGTCTTCTTTCATCGAAATTTTCCTTTGGTTGGGTAGTTTTTAAGCAGTATTGTTGCCACTTATTAGAGCAATACGTGGTTTTCAAACTTTTAGCTAAAAATGACATTTTTAGTGTGTAGAGGAGGCACGCCAACAACTTGTCGTATTAATACAACCGAAATATGCTTTTATTTACGAATTTGCGATTCGAAACGTGGACAAATGACATCAAGCCAGCCTTATAATCGGTTCTAGACAAACGAGTCACGTTTTTTTCACTGATTTAAGTTTAAAATTTAAATTTTATTATAATAAAAAGTTCTCAAAAATAGTCACATCTAACTTTTTTGTTACAGAAGGTTCTCACATAACATCACATCTCAACTCGAATTAAAAACTCAAATTAACGAACCGAACGGGAACGTCATTCACGAATAAATAAATAAAAATGAGATAAATATTTCTTACGGTATATAAGTTTAAATTTTTTTCATTATTTTTAATTAAATAACTATATTTGTTAAAAGAATACTAACTTTACTTTTAAATATTTTTCATAAAAAATGAGTGACGTTCTTTAACACGTTATTTATTTAGGTAAAAGGAAGTCTTCTTTCATCGAAATTTTCCTTTGGTTGGGTAGTTTTTAAGCAGTATTGTTGCCACTTATTAGAGCAATACGTGGTTTTCAAACTTTTAGCTAAAAATGACATTTTTTTTAAAATTACAATTATTTTTTAGTTTATCCCTTTTTAAGGGTAGTTTATCCCGAATTTTCTTTCCTTACAATAAATTTCAAAATGAATGAACATTTCAATAAAGGACAATGATTTTATTTCAAACCATTACAAACAAAGTCTATTGCAAAAATTAGATTAAATTTCCATATTGGCATAACTCAAAGTTTAAACTGCAAAATGAAATATAAGTTAGGGATTTTTGTTTTAGAACATATAACTAAGGATACGAAATTTATATATTTTGTATAAAAATAAAATTAATTGTTTTAAATTTAAACTTGGAACTTGAAAATGTTATTTTCTTTTCTTTTTTTTTTCTCTGACCGAGCATGTATGTTCTTTTTAGTCGATGTGTGTAATTTTGAAAATTAAGGAAATAAACAAAGAAAGGGATGCAATTACAAACTATAAGAATCATCAATCTTTCTCTAAATTTTTTTTAAAAAAATCCATTTTTCATAAAGACAAAAACAATAATCAATATATAGTATAGTTTCAGGATTTACATTTTAGAGAATGAACATGTAATTGTGCTCTTATTTTGGGAATGATACTCTTTTTCTCTCACATATGATTTGTTTCCAAATATCAGTGTTCTTATTTGGCAATGACAATCATTGTTTTTTTTTTCCCCACGATCAATGAGAATCAGCCAAATTGCAAAAGCAGTAAATTTCCCTTTTAATGTTGATGATGTATGTATTAATTACCGTCAATTTGACAATTTCATATCTTCAATGACTTAATGAGCTTTGATTAGCGACTCTGTGGTTGCAGTAAATGATTTAGGGTCGTTTAATTCATGCATTTAAATTAGTAATTTTTAATTTTAACATTTGAAATTTAAATATTTTACGAAAGAAAAATATTATAACAGAATTAAAATCATAAATTTAAATGCATGAAATAAACGAACCCTTAAATTTAACTTAACGACAATTTACCTCTACATTGGGATAGAGAGAAAGCAAACATTTTTCTCTTTAAGAAAAAATCTAATATAAGGAATAAAAAAAAAAAGATAATTATGCTGGATGACCCTTTTTAACTACCTCTTTTTATAAATGACCGAACTTTTTTTATTTTATGAAAATGGACGTTTTGTTTACACGAGTCAATCAATGATTGGCTTATAGACCACGGTCAAGCAATGATTGACCTATAATTGATTGACTGATTCATTATTAATTTCTCAATGGTTTGTCATTAATAAACATGTAATTTATTAATTAAAATTGATTAATTACTAATTGATTTTACTTATTTATTAACTAATGTTGATTAATAATAAAGAATAATCGAGTTAATCCGTGATAAATTATAGTCCATTATGATTGACCACTAAGTCAATCAGTGATGGACCGCTGAGTCAATTAATAATTGATCACTAAGTTCATGAAAATGACAATTTTTGCAATTTTGTAAAACTTCGACCATATATGGAAAACATCTTCAAGAAAGAAATCCCTAAAAAAATGCAAAGTTCATCTTTGTGTTTGTAGATCCATACCGTAAAAAATGTAAATATCTCAAAATGCATTTATGCATTTATGAAATATGTTTGTATAATGAGTCGCGTTATATATTACTATTGATGATTATCACTATTCCGTTTGAGTAAATCACAAACTTGCATGTGAATTCTAAAAATTATTTATTTAGACATAGGACACACAATTATATGTGTTTTTCTCAAAATAAATAGTCTAAAAACTGATGTCTCAATAAAAAATAGTTAAAAAAAAACTAATGAAGATTATCACCACCAACGATAATGAGTCTTTAGTCTTATCGTGATGTGTATGTATTCCGTGTAAAAGTACGACATGTCGTTCCTCCCTAAACAATGTTTGCAAAGTCAAGAAACTACTAGTCGTTTTCCAAAGTTTTCAGTTACTTATTTTAACCGACGCGTGGCTTTGTATTTGGAAAAAAATATGCGATTCTTAAGTTAATAAACGACGACAATATAAAAAAAAGACAGCAAAAGAGATAACATGAAAAACGACACATAAATGGAAAATGATCATAGAAAACAACATAGTGAAACAACATGATAACTAAACGACAGCAAAATGACGTCTGAGGACGACATTGAAATTAAAAGGACTACAGAAAAAGCAACAGAAACGTTAAACGGCAATAAAATAATGAACAATAACAAAATGACTCAAAGATACAATAGCCCGGGATATGTGAGACAAAATCAATAAACGGCAACAATGTGAAAGGATACAATAAGGGTCGAGCAAACAGAATTAACTACAATAGCAATGCGAAGACGGCAAGTAAATTACATGGGAGGATGACATGAAAAACCAATAACAGATTAACATTGTTAAAACGACATTAAAAAGAGCAAACGAGAACAACTGAAAAAAAATACGAAATTGAAGAGCAACATGAGACATGACAACAAATTGGCACGAAATTAGTAAGTAACAACCAAAATGAGAAAATAACAAACCATAACAATGTAAAAAGTACATAAAAATACCAAACGACGGTGAAGGAGACCAAATAAAAAACGACACGTAGAGGGCAAAAAAAAAAAGTAATGCATAGACGACAACAAAACGGCAACTTGAAAAATGACACCGTGAAAAAAGACAACAACAAAAACAAATGAATAAACGACATGAATATGTTACCATAAGACGACAGCGAAAAACAACATTCAAAGCGACACAAAGAGGATAAACGACAACAAATCAAAAACCGACAAAATTGAGACAAAATAATTAATCAAAATGAAAAAAAAAGGTAAAAGACAAAATCAGAGGAAATCTTTGAACATTGGAACTTCAATTAGGCAGTAATAAACAATGGCTTACTCCCAGCAAACCATCCGTTGATTGTTTTTTCCATATTTACAAGAAGAAAAATGGGCAACTATCAACTCTGAAGGACATAAATACCAAACTAAGCAGTGATAGGTTAAAAAAAAAAATCCAAAACTTCACGTTGGCTGTTGTCTTTCCAACACTCGCAACCGTTTTAACCACACCAAAAAGGCTTCGGAGCCATGTCTGAGAAAACATTATCCGTAAGCAATTTTTTAATTTTGGAAATCTGCTCCTTTTTTTCCCCTGAATACTTATTGAGTGCAGATGAATTGTTGGTTTGAGGTTGTAACTGTGTACGACGAACATATAAGAAAAAAAAAACAGAAGAATGCATATAGGAGAAATTCCACTAATTTGTACGACGAACTGTGAGCATTAATTAGCAAGTTATCGTTCATCATGGAGAAATGCGCTGCGTGTGTGTGTGTTAATGTTGAAAAACAAAGATTTTACAGAGATTTCTTCATTACTAAAAGAAAATGGTGAGATTGCAAAGAATGATACTGAAGTACAAATCAGCCAATCACAATGAGTGTCTAATTAAATACACAACATTGTTAGTAAAGACAGCCTAACGACAAGGCATAACAACCAACGTTACACAACAAGCTCGAACTCCTCCTACAACTACTAATACTAGTACTAAATAGTGGTGCTCATTAACAATGAACGTTTAGTCTAATACTCTTCTAGTTAATCATCACGGAGACGTGACATGGCTTCTGAGTCTGCTGGAGCGCGCCTAACAGGAGTTATAACCTCTTCATCTCCGCGTCCCTACCAAAAAAAAAAAAAGGAAAGTCAACACATAAGAAACATATATATGTTTTGGTCATGTTCATGAATTTTTTTATGTAAGTGAGAAAAAAAAATATGGTTTGTGGTTAAAACTCACATATTTGGTGGGGATGTTCTCATAGGTCGTGAAGCTTCCGTAAGACGGTGAACCTATCGAGGAATCCATCGACGAAGCCATGGATTCCCTCCTTTGGTTCTTCTTGGCCTTCCTCTCATAGCTCCAAGTTTCATTAAGAGAATTCAGTCCTTTTGTATTGTTGTTGTAAGAAGAAGTGTTATGATAGCTGCTCATCTCCGAGGGACAAGACTCGCCAGAACAGTCCCAAGAATAGGGTTGCACCTCAAAAGTGTTCCCGTGCTTGGAAAGAGTCGGACTTGAATCCAATTTCTTAGTCACCAATCTCTCACTTTTAATGACATCGGAATCATTCAAAGTTGAGTTGTTATTCCCTTTCCTCACAAAGACAAAGCCTGTACAAGCAATTAGAGCCAAAACAAATAAGGCTATTCCCAACATATTCACTTTGGTGAAACTATTTTCTGTACTGCCATCAACTGCAACATCTACTTCTGAACTTTGTGTGCCCTCTGATGAAGCATCAACTTCTGGTGCTTCAGAAATAAAAAGATCTTCATTTGCAGCCTCCGTTTCAGCACCAGAACTCATATCAACCTCATATTGGGAAATCCCAGCTTCCAAAACTTCGGGTTGGGCTGCTTCATCAGTCTGCGAAATCGGTATCGGGTTGTCCTCAAAATCACCAGGAAGTTCATTTCCTTCTTGACTAACTTCTTCAGGATCAGGACTAATGCATGCTTCTGGCATTTCTTCAACTTCAGAAGATGCTTCATCATCCTCCTGATGCACTTCTTCCACATATTCAGCATCAACTAGTAATGCTTCATCCTCCATAATTACATATGCAGCTCCAATATGAAACTGCCCATTCTCTCTTGTAGGTACAAGCACATTCATTTCATAACCATCAAAGGGTACATCATCCTCAACCAAAGCAGACAAGTTAAAATAATTCAAGGGCCCCACTTTGTGTGCTCCTCTAAGATTGGATATCAACTCAGAAAGAGAAGAGACAGAATTTGCGTACCAAACACGAAACCTTTGAGTTATCCCATCAAAACTCGCTTTCGCGAACTCGAGGACTTCAAACTGATCATACTGCTTCAAGAAGGCTGGTGCACCGTTGAAAGCAGAATGGTCGGTCACCGGCGAATTGGCAACCGAGATCGATACACAAGCAATTGAGAGAATGATAAGCAAAGCAGTCAACTTTGACCTCCAAACTGACCACGGCTTAGATTCCCTCTTTGCTTCAACAGCCTCATCTGATATAACAGCATCAATTGGACTTGGTTCAGAAACAACAAGCTCCTCCTCTTCTTCCTCTTCTTTTTCTTCTCCTTGTTTTTCTTCTGCTCTCACTTCTTCACCCGAAGAAACATCATCTTCCGTTTCCTTCAATAAAGATTCCGACTGGGTTTCATCTTCTTCTTCTTCTTCAGTAGTATCAGTGTCAGAAAATCCGTCCTCGAGCCGCTTTCCTTCTTTTGTCTTGCTGAGATAGAGTTCGACTCGAGGGTTCGGCTTGTAATGAAGAAAACGAGGCCTCGGGGAAAGGTAGTTGGTTTTGGGATCATAAGGAGACGCCAAAGGATCCGAATCCAATGGCGCTATTACTGGAATCGAAGACGGAGTAGGAGGAGGAGGAGGGCTAATCTTGAAAGTAGGTTCAAGGTTAACAAGCTCGGGCTCCACGAAAGAAACTTTCTTCTTCGGCAACGAATCCGATTTGGCTTTCGAATCTTCGGAAACTGGAGGAGCTGCAGGAGCTTTATCTTCCTGCTTGTGATCCGAAAGATCAGCAATTGGTGGACTAAAAGATGCGATTTTGAATTCGGAGAACGAAATGGAATCGCTAACCGGCTCGTTTCTCTCTTCCAAAATCTTCTTCCTTGGCGAAGCGTTGATCTTGGAAGCAGCAGAGATCGTCGGAGACATGAAATTCTTTGCGCCCTTCGATCCCATCGGCGATCGGAGTTTCACCATTTTCCCATTCTCTTTGTCCTCGTTATCGCGCAAAGTCACCACGCTCTCTCTGCTAACGGAGTTTCTTCGCGGATACTCTGCAAATACAAGAACAAGGAAACAAAAAATAATAAGTTCAACATTTTTTCTCTCCGAGTTTCTCAGCAAACAAACAGATCATTATCAAGCGAAAACAGAAATCAAATTACACCTGAATGGCTGTTAACGGGGGTATTAAGGTTTAAAACAAACAGATCATTATTAAGCGAACACAGAAATCAAATCAAACCTGAAGGGCTGTTAACGGGGGTATTAGGGTTTAAGCCTTTGGGATTTGGGACAATTGAGGGCTTGCTAAAGGGGTTTCCAGCGAAGCTCCTTCTCATGGGGTTTCCGATCTCAGAGCTTCTTGCGTTAGGGTTTGCTCGGCCTGGGATTGGCGAAGAGGAGGACTTGTTAGGAGGCGCCGCCATGGGAGGTTTTTCCTCGTACTGAGTTCAATGGTGTTTTTCTTCGGCAGAAAATTCAAAAATGAAAGAAACAGGGCAATAGAGAAAATCAGTTGACAGATCTGTAACGGCGAGGTTTTGAGAATCTTCGGAGGAATTAGAATGTGGTTTCTTGAAGGAAATAGTAACGGCTAGTTAGAGGAGAGAGAGGAAGATTTAAATCCTGGTTTTTTGACCGTTGGAGGATTTTAATCGAGTGCTGTTGAAAAAAGGAGGATAAAAGGATTAGAGCCGTTAGATTGAGTTATTGGAAAGTAGAGAAGAGATCTATGTATCCGTTGAGCTTTAACTCGATGGTCTTCCAATTAACGGGTGTGGACTGACACTTTTTTTTTTTTTTTTTCTATCTATTATGAGGGGAAACTATCTCAAACAATAAAAAAATTTCCCTACGTAAAATTTATAAAAAAAATTCTCAGAAAACAACAAAAAAAAAAAACTTATAAAAAATTTACCAGTATCTATTCATAAGGCATGTTTGGTTCATTGGTTCAAATCGATAATTTTGATTCTAAATTCAAATTGTATAAGAGAATCTACTAATTGAATTTTTTTATTCTAAAAAAAATTAGTGTAACAAAAATTTAAACACGTAAACTAAGTGATTAGTAAAAAAAATACATGAACCAAACAGACGTTAACGTTACATTTTATATTCCCTTTTTAAAAAAAAAAAGAACATTGCATCCAATGCCAAAATCCCAATGTTAAAGCAACCCTCACCCACTAGCATACTACACCGTATATAGTTGCTCAATTGGCATACGATCACAAAATGTCGGTATTTGAAAGGGGATGATCAGGAGAAGGAATAACTTTAAAAAAAAAAGCATGAGAAATAAACCAGCGCCCCCCCCCCCCAACCCCCCCACGCCACTTTTTTTTTCCCCACAAAAAAAAAAGAATAATATAGTGTGATTTTTTCTTTAATGTGTTTAGGATTAGAATTCGAGTGGCCGTCGCGAAAAGAGAGAGAAACATGGGGTGCATTTGAAACTCGTTCTAAAATGATTTTATTTTTTATATGAAAACGAAAATGTTTTCAATCTCAGACATAAATTATTTTTGAAAATGCATTTATTAGTTTTATCAAGAGATTATTTTTAGTGTAAACAAACTCATTAATGTATCTCTTTCTCTCTCTGCTTGAGAGAGGAGAAAACGAAAACAAAAAATGAAAAACGATTAAAAGTCGTTTTTCATTTCTTTCTCATTTTACAGTAAACCAAAAAATCATTTTCATTTTCATTTTTTATCTTTATTCCGCTAAATGTCGTTTTAGAAACGTTTTCATTTTTTTTCTCAAAAAATGTGAAAAATAAAAACGGGATCAATTCCAAATACGGCCAGGAGCTTTTGTGGCATAAGGCTTGTGGTCAGCAACAGAGGCAAGTGGGGCATGTGTCCCCACAGAAGTTATGTATACATTTTTTTAATATAATTTTTTAAAAATACTACTTTTATTTGTATTTTTTTTATTTTGCCCCAAAACAAGCTGAATTAAAAACCCTTTATTTGTCTTTTCTCTCTTCACTATGCACTTCTTCTCGTCTTCTCCCATAAGCAATGTATGCTTGAGGACTAGAGGACTGCTGCTGGCCCACCACACCCACTACTACTCAGGTTTGTCTTCTCTTCCTTTATTTATTTTGTGCTTTGTGCCCACTTCTTTTACCGAAAAGTTTAAGAGTTTTCTCTTTTTTTATTTTTTTTAAAGATCCATGGACATTTGAGGTTTTGTCTCTAGCTCATAAAAGCTTTGTAGATAATGTGTCTTTTGTCTTTTACTACGTTTATAGTACAAGCTTTGTAGATTCATGCTTGTGCTAATGGTTTGTCTACTTTATAAATTATAACTTAGAATTTTATTTTTTTTATAATAAATTAATTTAGTTTCTATTTCCTATGATTAATTAATGATTTTAATTATTGATATTTGGTACAAATTATTTGATTAAGTAGAACTTGAATTTGTGTGTGGGTTAGTTTTTATATTCTTTTGATGTTTATTTTTTTAGTCTATTATGTTGGTTTTTTTTTGTATTTTGAGTGCTTATCTTTGTTTTTTTTTTTACTTTTTTGTAGTTTCTTAAATATTCTTTTGAAATAGTAACGGAGATTTGAAATAGTAATGGAGAAATATTTCAAAAGAAAATTAGAACCTCCATTTCTAGAAAGAAAAAATGATGACAGTATTAAATCATGTAGCGTGGAAATTAACTTGATAGATCTTCCAACGGATCCGGGGTTAAGAACTCCAATTTTGGATTATAATCCTAATGTTCGAGATCAAGTTCAAAGAGCGTATATGCAAAGGGGTCCTTGTCAACCTCGAAGTCATGATTTTTCTTTAAGTAAATGTGGGCAAGCATTAAGAAAATTCAACCCTATTTGGTTTGAATCGTTGGAAGATAGCATAACAAAAGATGCGGCATTTTGTTTGTGTTGTTATCTTTTCAAACCAATTATTTCGGGTAGTGATTATTTCGTTAGTGAAGGCTTTTCAAATTGGGAAAAGAAAGAAAGACTTCAGACTCATGTTGGAGGCTCAAGTAGCTTACACAACCAAGCTTGGAGGAATTGTGAAGCCTTGATGAACCAAAAGCAACATATTGAAATAATTATTTCCAAGCAATCAAAATAAGCTCAAAAAAATATCGAATTCGTTTGAATGCATCAGTGGATTGTGTGCGATTTCTTTTACGACAAGGGCTCGCATTTCGTGGTCATGATGAATCTGACGACTCAAGCAATCAAGGTAACTTTCTAGAGCTTTTGCAATTTCTAGCTTCTCACAATGATGAAGTTAGAGGTGTTACATTGAAGAATGCTCCTGAAAATATGAAATTAACATCACCTGATATTCAAAAAGACATCGTAAATGTTGTTGCAATTGAAACTGTCAATATTATTATTAAAGATATTGGAGATGCTCTATTTTTTATTCTTGTTGATGAATCTCATGACATCTCAACAAATGAGCAGATGGCTGTTGTGTTGCCTTGTGTGGATAAAAAAGGGCAAGTAATTGAACGTTTTATAGGTATTGAACATGTTGCTAGTACCCCAGCTCCCTCACTTAAGTCTGCTTGATAAATTATTTTCAAGATACAGATTAAGCATATCAAGACTACGAGGACAAGGTTATGATGGAGCAAGTGCTGGTTCCCGAATCAAATTCGGGTGCGAAAGCGTGGGGAAGGCGGATCGTGTATAACAAAAATTTTCATAAAACTTTTGAGATACTCTATAGATTATATTAATTTATGCACGAATAAATTAATCGCATTAATTTACATCAAGAATTCAATCCGAAAAAATACCTGGAAGCTGACTCGGATGATAACTTGAATTCTTTGACCACGAACAGTCCTTGCTCCAATCTTTGTGTTTAGAATACCAAAGTCTTCCACGTCAATTCCTTGATTCCACGTAGACGTGTGTGTGGGCACACGTGAGACAAAAACAGGTTTCTTAAACACTCAAATTTCCACAAACACCAACGCATGCATGATGTGGAATTTTTGGAGAAAAATATTTTCTCTCTCTTTTCTCTCTATGAATTTCGGCCACCAACTATTAGGGCTGAAAAATTGCTTCAAAAATTGTGTCCACAATTTTCTATCATTCTCATATTTAAAGAGTAGAAGTCAAACTTCAAAACAGGATCAAATCCCTATCTCCAATTTTGAATTTCGAACAAAAAAATCTCTTCCCCTTATCCTTTAGTGGCCGGCCACCATTAAGGATTTATCCCTGTGTGTGTGGCACCTATATCAGATAGGGAAGGAAGAGATTTTATCCTTTATCCAGTAGTCCAATTTTAATTCAGATTCAAATTCGAATTTAAGTCAAACTTAAATTAATTTGAATTCTAAA